GAGGGACCACGACTTCTTGGAATGCAGCCACAACAGCGATGACCTGCGATTACAGTAGTGCGCATTGGCATGCTGCCCTTCTTCAGCCTTGTGCAATATTACGAGTTAAACCATGAGAAGGTATAGGCAAAGCTCAACCAACACAACAGCTCAAGCTCCCTTTCTAGTTCGTGGACATTTCCAAGAAGACTGCATACTCCTTGAAGGCACAGAAACGTCGCTATAGACTCAATGGGGACGAGCCTGCTACAATACTGTGCCTAAGGCCTTGTACGAGAGCGAAGAGAATGTACAATCGTGATATGCTATTGATAGATGAGAATTGATCTTACCTGAGCAGCTAACAGTGCTAGTTTACTCGGTTGCGGAAAGAGTCCTTCAACGCACTTATTGCGCTGCGCGAAGATTCATAATCTGTCCAGAACCCAACATTATCTTTATCCTTCTCCTTCATAAGCCCAAAATGAGCTTCCGCCTGCTGGAGATGTGTTTTGGCAATGAGAATGTCCTGTAGAATTTCATCGCCATGACTTTCTACGCGACTCAAAAGCGCAATGTTCTCAGCACTTATTTCCGGCGAAGAGTTCAGATCCTCGGTTCCAAGGGATTTCCAGAGCTCTGTGAGAGGCTTTCGCTGCCTTGATCGAAGGCCTTGACGTTGACCCGTGTCTTCAGAGAGGGCACCGATACCGGGGAGATTGAGTAAATGTTCCTGAAGCTCATGAAGAGCTAGCTCGAGACATCCTGCGTCCCCGATCTGCTCTTCAATCTTTTCATGAACGTCTGTCGAGCAACGGAAATAGTTCAGAGGGATCTTTGCCTGGTTGTTTTGCCAGCCGGCTTGTTTCAGTATCTCGACAGCCTTCAAGCGCTTCTAGCATATGAAGCAGATCAGAGTGAGCGATGTCTGATAAGGCAACAGCTCTTGCACGGATCCGGGAAGCCAAATGTCTCTGACAGATGTTGTGATTCTCCATAAAGTTGCTGTGAACAACCTACCTCATAATGGTCCCTAGGCTGCCTCCGATTCGATCAAGCGACTCCGCTACGTTTTCCCTCTCTTTGATCTTGCTTGACCGAACGTGGTTTCTCAACAAGTGCACTCCAGACTCGCCTGTGCTCATAAATGTCCCATAGTAACCGCTGCGATCTGCTTGTTTCTTCGCAAGATCAATATGTTCCGCCATACTGATTGCAGATGCCACGTAGTCTTCTAACCCAACCGCTTGCTGTGACAGTGTCGTTGTTGATCTGAGAAGCCCGAAGATCAAGTAAAGGAAGAAGAGACTAAGGATCAAGTATGCAAGAGAAGAGAAAAGAGGAAAGATCGTACGTTCCATTTTTCCACCTTGAACAAAGTCTTGGGAATTCATTGGCGGCGCATTAATCCCAGCAAGATCTCCAGTATTTGCTTTGACTCGTCGTCGAAGTTGTGAATGGCTTTTCACTTGTGCGTGAGAATGACGCGATAGTGAAAACGTGTTGGGTGAGGAGGGGATACGATCGCTGATGGAGAACTCCTCCCAGGTGATCTTGCCATTATTACAACGTAGCCGATTCTGAAGGTTAGCACTGGCCGAGGTTGTCCAGCGAACTTAAAAGAGAATTATCCATCGAGTGTGGTGGTCGCATGGCAGCCTGCTTCCGCTTTTGGCCTCAATAAGACATCTCTCTGCAATATTGCCGATTTCTTTATATCCTTCTCGTTAGTCATTGTATGCGTCACTTCCCACGACCTAGCATCTAGGCGTTCTTTGTTCCGGTGGAGATCTGATTGATGTAACTACAGTCGTGCTCAAGAGACGATAATTCTTATTTGGGGTATCTAGTTAGCTAATTATACAGTCTATCAATACGCAAATGCAATGCGAGAAAATTGGGACGTCAATATATCTCCTACCGAAGCTCGTCTTCCCGGTCTTGCCAGTAGTTCTTCTGGAAAAGCTTGGCGAGAGACTTGCGTACTGAGTTCTTGAGTCCCACACTCTCCCCTCCCGTTTGTCCCTTGTTGGATAACTTCTGCGCCTTCACTTCAGGGTTGTTGTCACTGTCCTGCGCACCACCCAGCTTCCACGGCACGAATGCTGGTGGAGACAGGGTATAACCACTGACTTTTCCCTCGACGTTTCTCCAAGCCACTTCATTATCGACGGGATTCCCAAACGGCTTCCAGCCCCCAATATGATACAATAATCGCATGGCGCCCATCCGTGTTACTGCGTAAGCTTGCAAGCAAATCGGATCGTAGGTAGGGGAGACGACTCGCACGCCTTCGGATTCTGTCAGATTCCACATCTCCGTGAACTCTTTCTGCCAATTCTTATGAATGTCCCGGAGTTTAGGTCCATCCTTATCAGGTATGACAGACATGAGATCGAGGCGATTGGGATTAGGATTGCCGCCGCATTGGCCGAGAAAGATGTCATCCCAGTCGCATCCTGGTCAAGCATTGTCAGCTCAGTCTCATACAATGCTTCGAGTGTTTGTAGAAGCCCGGTGTCAAGATTGGAGGATTCCAAAGTGCCTTAAGATGCATCCTGACCGTGTACTGGGGAGACAGGGACACGTACCGTAAGCGCACTCTTCGTCCCAGCCCTGTTGGACATTGTCCTGACCCCATCGAACAGTATTGTTATATCGTAATTGCCAGTTCAAGTTGCCCATGATATCTTTGATGTTTACGTCCCAATCAACGTCGTCTTCGATGATCAAAGCACTCTGCACGTCATTATCAATGATGTATCTCCAGACATTGGCATGAGCGCGCCACACGCCCAACCACGCCTTTTTCGTGAAGTCGTGAGGACCATTATTGGCGGGCATCGCTTTCGGGTGCACGTCGTCGTTCGAGACCTGCGTGCATCAGAATCGAAAAGCCATCATTTGTTTATGACACGGCACTCACTCCAGGTATCATGGTAAGCTTCAGGCCCGAAGCAGCAGCAATGAGGGATAAAGCGTCCTTTATTACTAGTCAGTATTGTACACTCGGCCTTGTAATGGTGTAATGGGACCAGAACCTACCTGGCGGTCGGTGCGGTAGGGCATGCTTAGATATATAATCTCTTGGAAATCGAGGGTCGCATTGGCTGGTTGCGCTTCTGGCGGATTTTGCCAGTTGAAGTATGGCGATGTTTTGCTATTTTGTGTCGAGTTCCTGACATTGCCTCCTAACGGATTTGTCGAGAACCTTTCTGGAGCGAAACGACTAACAGTAAAGAAAACGGTGAGAATAACGATTGAAGCGACGAGCACTTGCGAAGTGCGAATTCCTTGTAAAGCTCGCATGGTGTCGATACAGATGAAAGGCTCCAAAACTCCAAGCTTATCTGAGGTGGGAAGAGGCAGAAACATATACTCCGTGCCGTTGCATTTCTCCTGCAACGCCTCCAATTATAAGCACCAGCTGCGCGCAGGCGCTATCCTCCATTCTCAGCCCTTTGTGTGCCAAGCACGATACCGAATGCGTCAACATCAGGCAAAACGCCATAACCTCAGCTCACCCGTGAGCAAGCCCCGGGGAAATCCTGCGTGTGTCTACAACCATGTCCGACGGAAGGCGTACTGCGGCTGACGCCACGAGAGATAAGAGCGGAGGTGTGCTCAGGTGAGTGATGCCAGTTGGATTCTTAGCGTTCGAGGAGAGCCCAGATCGCCAAGATCAGCAGCATTACTAGATCAGGGAAAGCAAGACCACCTCGATATGGTAATGGGGCCATTCCTGCAGTGCCGGTTCTAACGTGATGCGGTCGCCAAGGACGCCTTCTCTCTTGCGATCGATCACGTCGTCGGCTCTGCAGTTGCAGCGTTGGGCCTCAGTCTACGACAAAGCCGGCTAGGACCTTGGAGGCACAGAAGCAGTGTGTACATTATGTGATTCAGGTTCTTGGAGTGACATAGCGTACTCTACGGAGTAGGTTGTTACTGTATTTTGCTAGGGCTGAGATGGTGCCAAGGTAGTGGAACGGCCACCCAGGAAATCCTTCGCGTGAGATGTCGAATGCTAGCTCCCGAGCATGGGGGCCGCTGCACCGCACGAGCACCCTTTGCGTAGAGTCGGCTGTCGCTCTAAGGAAGGTCTGCCTTGTTGTCGATGGATACAGTTGTATATTCAACAACAGAAGTACAAAATCTGCTTTCATCAAGACCGTACGCATTGTCGTTCTTATGATTTGCAATGTGATGAAGATAAGAACCCCGTCCTTCGCTCCATCATGCTGATCTAGGCGTGAGCGACGTAATAGGCAATTAAGCGTCCTTACGCGAGGGTTGCTTGCCCAGCCTCTAAATCCAGCGATCAGACATATGGACTAGGATTAATTTTAAGTCTGGAACAAAGTAAGGTCTCCTTTTTGAAAGTCGACGTTCGAAGATGATAACAGGGCTTCAAAGTAGTCGGGCGATTTAAGGTTATCGGGCGAATTAAAGTTATCGGGCGAATGCAGGCAATCGATCGTCCAAAGGTAATCGGGCGAAACTAAGCAACTTGACAGCCGATGACCCTAATCTAGTTATAAAATGTCGAGTTTCAGGTCACCGTCATCAGCCGCTGTCATTTCATTGCGAGCCGTGCGAGCCTTTTGCCCATGAGCCTGGGCAGTAATCTCGATTACGAAGCATGCCAAGGAGATACAAGCTTGTCGCTGACATCTTGTGCTAGGATGCATCCTTCGTTCTGTTCGCGATGTCGCTCTCCTAAAAATAACGATATCGCATCAAATGTAACTATTTGGTTAGCTTCGAGGTTGCAGGCATTCGATGAATTGACATGCCATGATGACAGCTTGCACTCGCTCCCATCACTTTTTGACCCTTTTTCTTTTCAACAGGGTTTCAGCGAGGTCGAGAGAGACAAAAATGGATGTTCTCCCGGCCGCCAAAGTCCCGTTCCAGTCACCTGCGTGTCGCAATCTCAACGCATCGGGTCAGAGGTCCCAACCACGTATCGGCAGCCAAAACACATCCACCTCCCGGGCATCTCGCAAAAGGAGAAAAAAGAATGGACTTGCTGGGAATCGAACCCAGGACCTTTCCCACGCTTTTATCCAGGTTCAAGACCTGGCCTGATGCTAAGGGAAAATTATACCACTAAACCACAAGCCCGTCAACAATTTGATAACAAGAAATCGAATTTTGAATAATATATACATGGAAAAACGACTCAAAGCCGGCACAAGCCTGTTCCGTACTTCAGGAAGATATTTCAAATCACTCGACGCAAATGTGCGTTGGTGGGGCGGTCAATGTGCATTAGCGAAGATGGTAAAACGGGCTAGATCGGTCTTATTCAAATCCAGATTTGGTAGGCTAAAGGTTCTTGAGGGCTGGGAATAATATGAGGCTCCACATAATGACGAGTCAACATCACAGGAATGCTCTCGCAATGTTTGTGGAGTGTAGCTGTTCTGTCTGGATGCACATCGCTTTCAGACCAGTAAAGGCAAATCGGAGCGAAGAGACTTTAAAGGATAACATCTTTCGCCTGGCAGTCCACGTTGAGCTATGTAAAAGAGGCTTACCTCCACTTGCCATACTTCCGCTCCAACAAAGAGTGATTCCACAAGAACTTTCGTGAGAAAGCTAAGTTCTTGTGTTCGGCAAAATGCTCCTCTTCTTTTCCGACCCCCTTTGCGGCTCTTAGTGCAACTGCGCTCCTATCCACGCTCGCCTACCCGGGACGGGGCAGTGACTTGACAGGAAACTTTGATCACGACTGAGGACGGGACTGATACTGACGCTCAGTTCCGCGCACTTCGCGGAAAACAAATTTAATGACTGTAGCGTTCGAAATTCTCGCAAACGGATGTCCCTTGGCACTCTCAAGAGGCTTCTACAGCTTTTGCTATCTGATCAGCGTCGATGGTTGCATTCTCACTAAAGTAGTTTTACTACTTTTTCTCTATACGTTATCCATAGCACAGTGGATGGCCGTCCGCAACCTCGTCGAGCTGGCCCCGGATAAACTCGCACACAGCTTCCTTCTCCTCTTCAGTAAAGTCGCCGGGCCATCTCATATCCTTTGATTCTGGTAGAGGAAAAGAATCCGCCCAACAGGTCATCCAGTGCTCGATTGCGTTCACAACTAAGTCGATCTCTTCTCGGATCTCCCGATCAACTCTATCTCCCTCCTTCTACTTTTCTTTGTCTTCGTCCCCGATCTCCTCCTGGATGCGTCGTCGTCGCCTCTCTGCTCGCGCAGTGATGAGCGATGAAGAGCGAGCCATCTAAGATTTGTAGTTGCCACCATCGACCGTGACTCCACAAGTGGCGAAGAGGGGCTGGAAGACAAGTAGGGCAATGACAGACGGTATCTCACGTCGGAAACCCATCTTTAGAAGCCCAAAATTCTCTGCGTAGTTGGAAGAAGTTGTTTTTGTACTCTGTACGGCGATGAGAACGTTTCAAAATCTTCTAAAGGTTGGAGCGCCTTTGAACTATCGTTGATCTCGAGCTCTTGGAATTCGTGTGTCTGTAGGAAGCCAAGTGTTTGGATACGTTCTCGAGTTGCCTGTGAAATGAATCGATCATTTGGAATCATCAGGCGCTCTAGCATACTTCGTGCATCCTGCTCAGCGCTTTGAGTTCCGCGTCCCGCGGTGGGAGTGTGTCGGAGACTGTAGGAGTATGGTCGGAAGCTGCGAGAATATTGCTGAAAGTGTAGGAATGTTGTCGGAAGCTTAAGGAATGTCATGGGAAGCCTTAGGAGTGTTTCTTGGAGATCTTGGAGTAGCAGGGTCAATCTGGAAAGTAATTGGAGCACTGAGGTTTCTGTGGGAAGCGCCTAGGATAGTAGTGTCGTTCAGTGTGATGTAAGCTTAGGTATATGCAAGGGCGTTTTCGCGTACATAATTGCTGCTGGCCTGAGCTCTAGCTCTCTAGATATGTTCCATACCGAGCTGTGAGTGTAGGCTTCCTGTCCTCCACCAATTGCCCTACACTCATTCAATTCTTTATCGAGCAAATAGCGGGGAAGGGAGATTGTCTTGTTATGGCAGAAGACCTGCGACATATACTAAGGTTCTCCATCAGCTCATTCATTTAGCATTGAAGTGCTTCCGCGACACCGTGTAATAAAGTAGAACTCCCCTTCGCGCCAACAACACTCTGGTTTAGACTCTTAGTGACTGCATGCGGGATTCTGGGACTGTGATTTGTGCTAAATTTATATACACAAAAACAAGAGAGGGCTCGCGAAAACGCTCAACAGAAGTGAACATACACACCTCAACTCCTCCCAAGACCAAACCGGGACCCCAGTGTCCCGAACCTGTCACTCGCAGTGGGCTTCGTAGGACTCTGCGCCGCGACAACCCTTCCCTCCTGACACTTCTCAATTAATATCGCACCCTTCATGTTGTCGACTTTCCCGTACTTCCTATTTCGTAAAGCCGTATCGAAGAATTCGTCAGTGTTTTCGCTCCCCATGAGCATGACAGTCTGTACAAGTTCGTCCAGGTTTTCCATGAGAATAGGGTTGTTGAGGCTCTCGACGAAGTTGGAAAGGAAGGATGTGTCTGTAGCAAGCGAGTCGGCGGCTGCTGGGGTGATGCGCTTGACGTTCTCGTCTAGGGTGAGGTCGAGGATTGCGGTCGAGGCGTGGCTGAGTGCGTCGAAATAGATGAATTCCTTGATTTCTTTTGGGAGGGCGAGGAGGACCGAGTTCATGATGTTTGATAAATAGCGTGTGAGCTCCTGCATGTAAAGGCTGGGTTCTTTGCTGGCCTTGGCCGCCATCCTACAACACATTAGCGCTGGTCTCAACACACATTGTGGTGGCCACTGCACTGCACGTACCAATCATACTCTGCGGTTTCAATGAGATCATCAATCTTGGAGTTGACGAGTTCGAAGATGCGGTCTGATGCCGCCTTCTTCGCAGCAGTGAAGCGAGCTGTTGCCTGCAGCACAACCGGTCCAGTAGCCGAAGCCGAAGAGCGTGCTTCGAAGAGCAAGCCCTGCAACTCCCCACAGGCAATCTCGAAATGCTCCAGGTTGGTCAAGATCTGAACGATCTGGCCGGGATACTGTGAGCTTAGGCGGTCCACCAGCGACTGGCAAACTTGCTCGCACAGCAGCTCATCTAATGACTGCCGTAAGATGGTTCTTAGTACACGTTGATTGTTAGGGTGATTGTGGTCGTATCTTACACTTCGTAGTGTCTCATCGATTACAGTCGAACGCTGAAAGTAATCGTCCGAGAACAGGTATATTTGATTAAGGAAGTTTCTTATATCGATGCAGCATAGCGGATACATCTGAGAGAACGGTAGAACACACGGAAAGCTTCGCGCGTTGTTAGCAACGTGACACAGCATAACGGGACCGACATACGTCAATTCTTCGCGCTCCTTGTCCGGAGTATACCAGCTAACAGTCACAACCTTGTCGTACTCCTCCATGCTGTTGATCGGCATAGGCATGTAATCGTCCGTGCTAACAATCTCCAGGAAGTCATCGCTAAAACGTCTCTTTAGTAGCTCAGAGTACTTCTCGAACAGTGTGAGGAGCAATGCGTTCATGGCAGAGACAGAATAACCCCATTTCTATCTCAGGTGTCAGCACGATATCTCCATATCAAGTATAGAACACACCTCCATAGTGAGCATGAAAAGAGCGATTCGACCCTTGATCTTCAACAACAGCTCGTCGTTATCTACAGCCGACAAGGAGCCCGAGATCAATGCTATGGCGCTCTGGCACATCGAGTCCCAGAGTTCGTCAACCTGGCTCAAAATCAGTATCGCTTCAACAGGCTTGCAAATATGTAACTCACATCTGAAATCTGTCGGAAATTGTCCGTCTTCGAAACGGTCGCTTTCTCGATGATAGCAAATCCTGCAATGCTCTCTAGAAGACTGCTAAGCTCGCCGCATTCCTCGTCCAACAAATCCAGCTGTTGAGGAATAATGAGATCCTTCTGCGTCCGTCGTGTCTTCGCATATTCTGTGCTGAAGTAGTCGCTCTTTCCCAATGTCTCGTGGATATGCATGGCTTCGAAAAGTGGCGTGAACTCAATGCTGATCTCCGCCTCTTCATTGTTCAGGATGTCAAATTCGTCAGTTTCATCGGCAATGGCCTCCATAGCCGAATTGAGCTTGAACTTGGCAAAGCGATCGTCGGCCTCTGACCTCACCTGATTTCTGGAGCGGCGCACATCCGTATAATAGAATGCAACCTCTCCGAGGAACTGCGATGACTCACGAATCCGAAAAAGCCAGGTGTTCAGGTCATTCATGACGGCCTCACCAATCATCTTCTGGGTTGCCGGTACAGACTTCTCTATCATCTCCGCAATCTTATACCGACGGACCTCATTCAGATGAATTTGTTGCAGCTCGTCCAAAGCTCGCAGTGCTGCGTAATGGTTCTTCTTGACCATGAGATCGTGAATCTGGTTGGCCAGCTGAAGTACTTCGAGACACGCGCCGAGAGCTTTCTTGGTCTCCTCAAGATTTTGGCGCACCTGTCGGGAGTCCACGAGCGCCTTCTTCTGGGCCGCTAGCTTCTCGGTACTGGACTGAATGGAGGCATTCAACTCGAGAATCTGCTTGGTCATCTCGACGGTGCCTTTCTGTACATCCATGAGGGAGGTAACGGAGCCCATAAAGTCTTGGTGGTTGGCATTGCAGATGCTTTCGATCTTCTGCTCGCGATTCGATGCGAACCTCCTCAGTTCGCTCGTGATCTGGGTCGCATAACGGGCATCTCGCATCACAGGGACAAGTTGCTCGATGTAATCAGAGTCGGAGGAGGATTGCGAGATCTACCATGTTAGATCGCGATCACCTCAAGTTGGTATTCTACTCTACCTGTCGTATGGCTTGTCGGAGGTCATCTTCAGGATCCAGTCGGGAAGGCATCGTGCCCGAACCCGAATCGAACACACGCCCTGCGTATTGAGTGAAGTAATCGGTACTTCGTCTTCGGAGTGGGCGCTGAATAACCGATGAAACACGGTTGCTTCACATCGCGGACATTGAAGGTACGACGACGACGGAGTAAGCTCGGCGCTACGCCAGGGCACGTGACCTGGCCCATGCTACATCCCGCTTTCCCCTCGCGGAATTGATGGCAGAGCGATGACGGAGCTGGAATTCTGGAAT